ATTTAGAATTTTATAGGGATGTAATTTTACAGTTAATCATAATATATAATATTTCGAATATTTACAGTAATTCTTACAGGTTTTAAACTAAAATAAAATAAAGTAGGAGAAAAAAAAATGGAATAAAAATAAAAGAACAAAATAAAAAAAATATAAATATATTTTTCCATTTATATGTAAATAAATTAATTGTAAAAGTTTTAAAACAAGGACTTTTCTGTCTCTCATATTATTTTTGTTTTTTGTGTTTTTATTATATACTCTTTTCTTTTTTATGGTCTTTATTTCTGTTTTCCTTGTTTTTATTTTATTTTTAATTTATTCAAGTGAAACTAATGACTAAATAAAGGACTTAAACTTTTATTGTTTTGGCTATTTACCTAACAACTTATGTGTGATTTTAATTTTAAATTTTAATAATATAATGTATAAAAGCTCATTATACATTTGTGTGTGTGTGTGTGTGTGTGAATAAAAAATAAATATGTATATTTATATATCCACATACACATTATACATAATTATGTATAATAATTTATAAATATAATTATATAATATATTTACATATATTATATTTTTAGTATTATTTTAAAGAATTTTCAGGTGTAGAAATTTATTTTTTTTATAAATTTGGCCCTCTTTTTCATTTTTATTATAATTATTAAAAATTTTAAAATAATATTTTAATTCATTCTTATTATATTGCATATATAATTAATTTAAATAAATAATAAAAAAAAATTTATTTTAAATTTAAATGAAAATTAAATTTTTTAATATGAAAATTATATGGAAAATTCTTTAACAAAATATTTTTCTTATAAATTTTCTAATATCGTACATAAAGAAAACGAACTGGCTAAATATTTCTTTATAATATAATTTAAAGAAATAACATGTTTCTTTAAATTATAGAGCAACTAGTTATAATACTACACAGTACAAAAATTTCTGTAATTTTACACAATTTTTCTTACAACATTATTCATAGTACTGACAACGATTTATTAAGCAAAACTCGCAAAAACCTTGTTTTCGACGAATAATTTTACATTCTTTATGCAATATTACAGATTTTTCTGTATATTACTTCGATTAATGTAAATATATATATTTAAACTTTAACATTAAAAAAATGTTGAGAAAATGAGAGCTCACATAGAAATGGGGATTAATTCGAAGCCAAAACGGTGTTTTTAAAACAATTAATCACTTATAAATCACTGATATATTTCTTCTTATGTAGAAATCCTGTTATTGCAAATTGGAATATCAAAAACATGAAGACACATTCAAAAAATTAAAAATATTTTTATTTCAATTTGAAAAGAAAACAATTATTTTCAAAAAATTTTTTCCCAATATTTTGTAAAATTAAAGAAAATTTAGTTTTTAACTGCGAAATATAAAAATTTTCACAAATAAAATTTTTTCGAAATTTAATACCAAATATTATCAAGTTCAAGCCTTGATTTATGATCGAGGTAGATTCAAACTACAATGAATGCTAAATACGACACTTTATATTGGAATAAAGAAAATTAAATTTGCCGCTGATTTTCTTATATAACAAAGCAGAGTATAACCTTCATTTCAAAAACGAAATGAAGTCATAAGGCACAACAAAAAAAAAGTTTATTAGACTAAATGAAAAAAAGGAAAAAAAAAATTTTTTTCCTCTTCTTCTATACTTATATTAATTTTTTTTTTGTATTCTCCATTACATACACACAGATATACCTACATATTTGGTTCGTTAACGAATAGTTTCAATATCCATTCATTCATCTTATGATATTCCCATATACTTATGTATTATCTTGCCTTTTATTTTATTCATTTTCATCCATCATAATAACATAATAACTTGCATGTAAAATATAATATAGATAAAAACAAGAAACAAAAAAGAAAAACCAAAAAGAAACGAAAAAAAAAAATGTTTTTTTTTTTTCTCATTTTGTTAATAAAAATGAGAATGGACAATTAAGAATAGAAACCCAAAAATGTTGATTAATTAAAAAAGTTTTTCATTTTCATTAAATATATGAAAAAAAAAAAAATACAAAATAAATAAATAAAATAGAAAAAAAAAATTACTAAAATACCTACACATAAGTTACGTATATCCTTCATAAGTTCAAAATTATATTAAAAACATAGAAACAGGAAAATATAGTATAACAAAAAAAAAAAAAACAAAAACAAAACGAGAAGAGCCCATATAGAATAAAAATATTAAAGTAAAAACAAGGAGTATAAGATGAAGAACAAAAAATAAAATTAAATATCTATTCTATATACACTCTCTGGTATAGTAGTTCTCTTTCATCGTATAAATAGTACGCACCTAAGGCAAATATTGTATAAGGAAATATAATATAGATACAAACACATAATGTTATACTTTTTATTGATTTAGATTTAGAATGTTTATTAAAAAGATAATTACGATTCTTCTCTTTTATTTTGGTTTTTTTTTTGTTCATCCTTAACTTCCAATCAAGTAGGTTCTTACAAACAAAAAAAAAATATTTTATTATTGCTCTTTCTTTTCAGGATTGTTTTCCATTTTTTTTTTTTTGTCTTTTTTGCTTTTCTTTATTTTTTATATTTGATTTTGAAATACTGGACTTTTAGGAGGGAAAAAAAAAGTTTATTATTTTTTTTTTTTTTTGTATTTTAATTTTTGTTTTTCTTTCTACCACATGATACCTTACTAATTAAGAATGGTTCTTAAAAATTAAAATTAATTTCCTGAAAAATATTAAGCATAGAAAACCTTTTATCAGAAAACGAAAATGAAAAATTAAAAGAAAAAAAAAAAATTAACCTTAAAAGTTTGTTTAGATTTTTTTTCTTCCCCCAAAAAATTCAAATTTAATTTTTGATTTTGTTGTTTTCCATCTTTTAATTCTCCCATTTTGTTTTTATTTAAGTTTTAATGGTTAAAAACTATGCACATTATGTAAACACAAATATTAAAAAATTCCCTTAAAATTTACCTTTGAAAATCCAAAAAAAAAATTCTAAGAGGCAAACATGAAAGAAAAAATCACCAAACTGTTCAATATTAAACAATTAATATGTTTATTTAGAAAAATCAAAAAAAAAAAAAACAACAAAATTAAATATCCTTTTGTTTTTTTACATTTATATTAAAAAATGTAAATGTTATTAACATTAGTTTGGAAATATTAAAAATATTTGAAATGATTTTTTTTCTGTTACCTCACGTTTAACAATTTTATTAATTAAATAAAGTCGAAATATTTAATAATGTTTCTAATTATACTAAATTCAAAATTACAATGTTTCTCTTTTACATTTTATATTACTTAATTCTCTTTCTTATTAATATTACTCTTAACAAATAATATGAGACTAAACAAAAGAGTACAAGCATAGGTATAGGTAGCTTTAAAATTTCTTTTAATATTAAATATTATTTTAAAGCTTTACAGTATATGTTTACACAACAGAGTACATTTTACACGTATAAACAACAAAATTACTGATTTATTAGTAAACTCTTATAATATCGAAAAGAGTAAATTACTGTCCTGCCAATCAAATGTACAAGAAAAGAGAATTAATATTAAGATAAGAGAATGATAATAAGTGCTTTTAAATTAAATATAATATAGTTTTATTTATAAAAAGAGTTTAAGAAGATAACAGCAAACTTTGTCTCACATTAAATTGCATTAATTGATGTTAAAGTAAATATTATAATATAAAATGAGCGTATACTTTTTGAGATTATTATTGTTTTAATATATTTCACTATGTAGAAGATTTCTTTAATTTTTTTTTTCTAATACAGCTATTATGCTTTATATCCTGTATCTGTATATTTTAAAATAATATGCAATATTCTTAAATAAATTACAAATTAAATTTATTATATTAAAATTTTTTACTTCCTCCGATATGAATAAAAAAACTTTTTCATCTAAATAATTTTTCTTAGATGTGCGAATACAATTTTACTGTAAAACCTTATACTTCGAACAGCGAATTAATTCAAATTTACAATATATGTACAATATACTAAAAACTATAAGAATTCTCTTAGTAATTATAGCTTTAGTAAAACAATGAATTTTTCTCTGGAAAAATATGATATTAAATATTTAGGTATACTTATGAACAATAATTTTAAACTAATTTTAAACATTTTAATAAACTCAACCGCAAGCAATCAATTATGACTGTGTATATTCGGAGATGATCACTAAAATATTATAAGCATTAACAATATCGTTATCATTTAATTAATTAATTATTGCAATTAAAAATAAAATACTAAAATTGCAATTATTATGCAACACGAAAGAATTTTTATTTAAAAAAACGATATGATAATGTAGTTTTTCTTTATAATTTATGTATTTAGTATTGTGTGCTGCCCTTAGACCTCTTTTTTTTTTTTTAATTTAATTTTATATTGTATAGCATTAAATTATATTTATAATAAATGGCATTAGTTTTCTACTTTAAATATATTAGTTAAATGAACAAGAACACAATTATTATTGTACTTGTATAAAATATATATTTAAATTTATATATAAATATAATATCTATGTATATTTTGTATATGTATTTGTATAAAGAAAAGGCATACTACAACATTGCTCAATTTATATTTATTATTATATATAATTTTTTCAATTTTTTTTTTTCATTTTTATTTTTAATATATATTAAATATTTTATTTTAATAATATTGTATTTAAAAAAATATATTTTAATAATTACATATTTAAAAAAAAAAAAAACGAAAAAATTAAATTAAATTTTACTTATAAATTATTTTTCATTTATTTTTTTTTATACTGAAAATAAAATCTGTATATATATATATATTATACATACATATATCTACATATATAAAAAAATTTTCGACAACGTATGGAAATAATATTGGGATGATTAAATTTTGGAAATTGTTATCGAAATCGAAAAAAAAAAAAATAACAAATCAAAATATACAGGGATCAGATTTACCGATATATATTTGGTACGAAAATTATCCAACACATAGCGGAGAAGGTTACGAAGGTCGTGTATCACGTGTATCACCCGATTCACCATTCGGTGCTGCATCATTAAATTTAACAAATATACGTGAAAAAGATCAAGGCTGGTACGAATGTAAAGTAGTTTTCTTAAATCGTGATCCAAAAGCAAATAAGAACGGCACATGGTTCCATTTAGATGTACATGCACCACCACGTTTTAGTGTTACACCAGAAGATATTATATACGTTAATTTAGGTGAGTAATTTTTGTTATTTTTATATTTTTAACAAATAAATTAATTTTGTTTACGATAATTTTTTGGGAAACTATTTTAAGAATATTTCGTTTTACTCGTAACAATTTGAGTTTTGTTGATTTTAGTGTCAGTTCTTTATCAATATTAAGATGTTTTTAAAGAAGAGCTCTTAATATAGAAAACAATAATTATTATTAAAAAATAATTATTTCATATGATATTTCAGAGATTATTATAATATGACCAAGCTATATTATGGCGTTTTATATTTCTCCTGGTTATGCACTCCAACTTTTTAATTTTTATTTAAACAAAACTTGCTCTATAATAATGGATTTTTCGAAAAACAAAATTAAAAATTTTTTATTTTATTAAATTTTTATAAAATTATATTGAAAATAATGTAAAAAAATCAAGTGTTGTTGAAAAATTTCTTTAAAATTACTGTTATTTTTAAAACTTTAAGAAAAAGCAAATTCTTCTTTTATAGTTCAGCTTAACAATTTTCTTATAGTTAAACCTGTATAAGTAGAAGTTATTTTTAAAATTAATATTTTGAATAAAAAATGAAAAATTTTATTTATTGCAACTACATTGCTAAATTTTTTCTTCTTTTTACATTCCTTCATCAAGCAAATCAGTGGTTTTCAAACTAACATACCTCTGTGCTGAACTCTTTAATTATTTTAGAAGTCTTTGATCACGAAATATATAACATTATTATATAACAGTTTTCTCTAAATTATTGCATAAATTATAAAATACTATTTGACATTGATAGAATGAACTGAATCATAAAATATAAATAATAATCATGAAATCGAAAACTGTTATATTGCATAACTGTTATATTGGATATAACTGTTATATATACAAGTAAAATTTAATAATATATATACAAGTAAAATATAATAATATTTTTGAAAAATATTGCTTGCTTCATTCATTGGAGAGCACAATCTCAAAAATACTATACTCATTGTATAAAATTTATAATGTTATACAATGAGTATTTCAAATTAATGATTAATATAATCATTAAATAAATTATATGATTAGATATGATACATATCTACTACATTTATTGTATAACAACATCATTGTAATTAGTATTATTAAATTTTTATTTTTAATTCGAACGTTGTTATATTTTGTAAAAAATTGGAATAATTTGCAAATTATTCTTAAATTTCATATATATTATTTTGCTCTCATAATAATGTCCCTAATTTAATTCGATTTAATAATTAGATTATATTTTCTGAATTATTAAAATAATTTTTATTTTAAAAACATTGAAAATCACTGTACTACATACAAAAGAATTTTAAAAGTTTCTGAATTATCAGGCTATAAAGGTATATTTTTTAAGAAAATTAAAAATTACTTTTAAAGAGAGTAAATTTTCATGAGAAGTTTAACAACAGAAAAAAAAAATTTATTTTATATGTCGCGAACATGGAAGTGTACTATTCATGTACAAGTAGAGAGGCAAAAAAAAACGAGAGAGCAAAAAAAAAAAATAACATGAAACTTTTTCTTTTGACACTTGCTTAAGGGATTCTTTTGCGTTTTTCTTTTTTTTATATTTTTATATTTTCTTTTTCATGTAATAATATGTCCTTCCTCCATTTGTATGAATAAACTTTTATGAAAACGGTGCTACAGGTTATGAGTTTTTCTTTTAATTTTTATTTTGTTGTTTTATTTGTTTATCTGTTTTTTTTTTTTTAATATTATGTCATAAGTGAATTTTTAAACTTTTATATGAAGAAGAAGAAAATTCTTTAGCTTAATTTTTTAAGATTTATGTCTACGTATATAAGTATGTTTATTATATATTTATATTTATATATATATAAATATTTCACTGAATACCATTATTATTAAATTTTTTTTTAAATAACTTAAAAAAAATGTAATTTCTTTATGTCACTTTTACAATTTTTTTTTCTGATTTTTTATTTTTTTTATTTTTTGAAAACTGTTATAAATGTTTTGGATGCTTACTTTTATTATACAGTAGTGAAATATTAAATGAAAAGAAAAAATTGTATATTAAAAAAAAAAAATGATAATTGATATCGAAGTTGACAGTGAGAAATTTCATAGAAGAGCAGAAAAAATATAAAAAAATGAAAAATATAAAAAATAAAAGAGAGTATATATTTTAAACTAAATAACACTGTTATGATCAATTGTCACAATAATACTTCTTTCCGAACCGTTGTTTTCATAATATTATTTTGAGCATTATTGAGCATTATTATACGATGAAAACTATAAATAATAATAGTATTATAACACTAAGATAACATAAATGACGACTGCGACATTATTTAATTTATTAAAAAATTTTAATTTTTATATATCAGAAAGACAGAAAGAAAGTAAAAACAGAATTATATGTCAGTTCTGTTTTTTTATTTATAATGTATAAATAAGTTTTTTTTATATTTTATATTTTATAAATAAAATATTATACTGAAAAAATGACTTATCCAAGAAATTACGTTTGACCAACTTAAGTAATTAATTATAATCCATCTAAATTCGATATAATAAAAAACATTCAAGTCAAAATGGAAATGTGACAAGGCAACACATGTGCTGCCATGACGCATGAGAGAAAAATTTATACGCTTTCATTTCAGTCTCAATTTGCTCAATAATTATTTATGTTTTATGTAATTATGTAAGTAGAGGTAATTAGATCCTACCCTTAATATTATTCAAGAACAAATTCAAAAATATTGTTCTAATTGAATATTTTAAAATTTTCTATATAGTTATTTTATATTACGTAATCTCTTTTAATTTATAAATATTTATAAAATTTAATTGTGTAAGACATTTAAATTGAAAATTTTATTACAAATATATGAGTGAAAATTAAAAAAAACAGTAAATTCAATTATACACTATGTTACATTGTTACATTAAATGAAATTTACAGTGTAATTTTATTATATAATTTTACACTCTCTATTAAATTCATTTCAATATGTACTATCATAAAATATTTATATATGTATAGAAACTACGTATATGTAGATTTATATTATATTTCATATTATTAGTAATGAAACCATAAAAGAAATATATTATCTTTCCATATCTCTTTCTATTTACAAAAATATTAAATTTAATTTTACAATAGATTATTATTTATTACAAATGAATAAATTACGTATACATATTATATGTACCATCTACATGAATACTTACAAATATATCTACAAATATATGTATATTATATGTTTTACGAATTATTACATTTTTTTTATTAAATTCAATAAAAAAAAAACAAAAAACTGAAAAGAAAAAGTAAATATAAAGAATACAAGAAAAAATTCTATTAAAAATCATAAAATGTAATCACTCAGTTGTAAAAAAAGAGAACCAAAAAAACAAATAAAATAAAAACAAAAGAGAAAAAAGTCCCTACTACAGCAGAACGGCAACAGCAGAAATAGCAGTTTATATTATGTAAAAATAAAGGAAAAATATTTAAATCAGAAAATAGCAATCGACAAGATTATAAATAAATTTTCATCTTATACTTTTCTTTATATTGTATATATATATATATATATATATATACAGAACTTAGAAATTTAACGAATATTATGTAGTGAATCCCAGAACATGAACGACACAATAAGGACAAACAGGATGAAAAAAAGCGAATATTGAACATTGAAAATATAAAAAAAAAATAAGAGAGAAAGGAAACCTTATATACAAATTTATATACCTATGTATATAATTTTTATACCCTGCACTTCGTGAAGGGTATATTAACTTTGGTATGGAGTTTGTAACTACTTGAAGGAGTCATCTGCGGTATGGACATATATATATATTCTTGCTCAGCGTAAAATTCTGAGTCGATTTAGACATGTCCGTCCGTCCGTCCGTCCGTCCGTCCGTCCGTCCGTCCGTCCGTCCGTCCGTCCGATCGCACGATAACTCAAAAACGAATAATGCAATCGACACCAAACTTTCACAAGTTTTTTCTTTTGTGCCAAGGACGAACCCTATTGTTATTGGATTAAGTCGGACAACGGGTTCGGGTAGCTGCCATACAACTCCAAGAGTTTATTTTAAATATTTCAAAAACTAATAAAGCTATAAATATAAAATTTTGTATAAATGTGTCCAATTATATTCTACACATGCTCTAAAAATTATAATGGGATAGCTGCACCGGTTCGGGTGGCTGCCATACAACTCCAACAGCAAATTTTTTATATTCGCCAAAATAATAAAGTCAGATTCATGAAACTTGGCAGTCATGTGTCCAATTATAGGTCAAATATATTTCCGAAGTTTTGGAGGAATTGCTTGACAGGTTCGGGTACCTGCCATACAACTCCATAAGCTAATTTTAAATATTTGGAAAAGTAATAAAGTCAAATTCATGAGACTTGGCAGTCGTGTGTCCAATTATGGGTCAGACATATTTCTAAAGTTTTGGTGCGATTGCTTGACAGGTTCGAGTAGCTCCCATACAAGTCTAAAAGCTTATTCTTAATATTTGGAAAAATAATAAAGTCAGATTCATGAAACTTGGCAGTTGTTTGTCCGATTATAGATCAGATATATTTGTGAAGTTTTGATGGAATTGCTTGACAGGTTTAGGTACTTACCATACAACTCCAAAAGCTAATTTTAAATATTTTGAAAAATTATAAGGTCAGATTGATGAAACTTGGCAGTCGGATGTCCAATCATAGGTCAGACATGTCCGTGAAGCTTCTATAGAATGATCTCACAGGTTCGAGTAATTGCTACACAATAACGAAAGGTGCAGGGTATAATTCAATCGGTTTATACCGACTGAAACGTTTTTACTTGTTTTATACATATTTGAATACATATTTAATACATATATGTATGTATGTCTATTTATTATCCTTTAATATTTATTTTTTTTACCCTAATTTTATATTCTTTTATCTAATAATGGTATTTTAATCTTGTTATTGTTGCTTTTGTTGCCATTTTTTCTGTAATTTCTTTTTCATTGTTGTTTTTTATTTTGTAGTTTAATATTATGTGATTTTTATTTTTTTTTTTTCTGAAATTTTTATTTACTTAAAATTGCAAACATCCTGATTCTTTATAATTATTATTTAAAATGTAATATAATATGTATATATTATATATACATATTTATATATAATATATATTGTGATATTTTTGGAAGCAAGGCAAAATTGACTAAGTTAATGAAAGCACAAAATTGAGGTATTTTAATATTTAAATTTTACGTATTTAAATTTGTAATCCAGAAAATTTAGAAAAAATTCTGATAAAATTTAAAAGTATGAAAATATTTTAATAAAAACTGTTATATAGGACCCAGCCCTAGTTTTAAGTTTAGTCAAAGTTTACATTTCCTGTATTATTCTTTTTTATACAATATTATCAACTTTTCTCAAGTACTTATTACTTATTTTTTAATATCTTTTTACATTTGATTTACAAAATTTTCTTTTATTTATCATTTCTCTGCGTAATATTTATGTATGTGTGTATATGTATAATAAAGGGCATACTTCTACCAAAATTTATTTAATACAATTATAAATATTGCTATATATATAAAATTTTGTGACAAATATTATTTTATTGTGTAAAATGAATGTCCTTGAAAACCGTAAAATAAAAATTTTTTTTTTACTAAATTTATTTCTGCTACAAATAATTTGAATTAAATGAAGAAAAAATAAAAGCTGAAAATTTAAGATTATTGAGAATTTAAATTTTATTTGTCAATGATACGTTTTCATTTTTGTTTTAATTTATATACATATTATGAACACACCCACATATTATATTATACACATTCAAAAATTGAAGAAAAAATATCAATTCAACCTACAATATTATAATAAAACCTACAAATGAAAATATTATTTACCTATTCCTACCTATATAACTTGTTATTCACTTACTACCTACGCAACAGACATTTTCTTTACAAAATACGAAAAAAAAATAATTGTTATATTTTATTATTTAACTTTCATACACAATTTATTAAATCTGGTATTATATTATTTTTTATACAAATTAAATATGATGTTAAAAAAATATAAGTTTTCCTCCCGCCTTCGTTCATCATAAAATTTTTTATTTTATAATAGCATTAATTTGAATTTTTAGTTCTTTCAAACTAATAATAGCTATCTATTTTCCTTTTTATATAAATATGATGAATAACTAAATTAAATATTTAATACAAAATTAATATTATTGAAATTTTAATAAGAATTCTCAAAATTTAAATGAATTTTAACTCCATTATATAGTTCCATTCAAATATTTAAATCTTTTGTACTGGGAAAATAGTTTTCGCCTAAATATATGCAACATTTTTTTTCATTCCACAGATGTTGTAATAATTCTTTTATATTCATTTTAATTGTTCATCACAATATTATTGTACATTTATAATAAAATACATACATAATTATAATTACATAATTGTATACGAATATATATATATATTTATAAAATAGAATAAAAATTAAAATTTTTCCGTTATTCAAAGTGGAAAATAATATAACAAACAAAACAACAAAAAAGAGAGCAATAAAATAATAATTTAAAAACTGCGGTAACAAAATGGAAGGGTGTAAAAGAAGAATATAAAAAGCAATAAGGAAAAAAATATAAAAGAAATTAAAGAAAAAAATAATAACAACAATAATAAGCAAAAAAAGACCAAGAATTAAAGAACAAGAGAAAAAAAAATAGTATAATATTGTAGGTGTATTACATGATGAGTAGACAGGACACTGTCTTGTACTTAAACATTACAAAAAAAAAAAACAAAAACAGCAAAAATGAAAAATAAGAAAAAAATAAAAAAAAAACAGAAAATATGATGAGAAAAGGACAACAAAAGTGTATATATATTTTCACATAAAAACAACAAAAAATAAAATAAAATAAGAATAAGAACCAAAGTTAAGGAAGACGTATAAATTGATGTAAATGCCATAAAACTGTTCCATTTCTTTGGTGATTTCTTTTCATTTCTTTTTATATTTTTGATTTTATTTTAATTTTTCTTTTTCTTTTCTTTCTTTCTTTTGTTGATTTATATGTATACATTTTTTTTTTTATATAGAAATATTATTGTTATATATATATTATTTTGTATGATATATATATGCAGATATATAGAAATATATTTATTAATTTTACTTGTGTCTCTTCTGTGTTGTAACAATGAAGGAAATTACTTTGAAGGAGATAAACACCAGGATATCTTTCTTTATATTAGAAGGAAGTGTCATTCCTTTGGTTGTTGGTTTTGATCGTTCATAACAATTATAATAAAATTTTCTTTTTTTTTTTTTGAATTCTGTTGCTATTTTTTTTTTTTTTTTGTTATACGAGTATTATATATAATATTTTTGTTCATTTTTTTTGTATATTTTTTTTAATTCATTTTTAGCTTTTATATTATTCTTCAAAAATATATTCTTATACTATTATTAGAATATATTTTTGTGTGAATATAATAGTAGAATTTCATAAAATGTTATACATACATTTTACTCTTTCTTTCAGTCTTAAGCGATCCTATCGTGCGTCTTTTCATTTTGTTTCTTTATCATTTAGTGATTTAATTCATCATCTTTAGTAAATTTTAGGTATATACTATATATAGGTATATATGTTATGTATAATTATTATATGTTCATTATAAAATTTAATAAGTATATGAATATATTGTGTATTTAAAATAATAATAATAATAAAAATAAACAAAAAACAAAAAAAAAACAACGACGAATTTATTTTCAACTTTTCGTTGTTTTTCTATTTTTTGTTTCTTCTAGTACACTTTTATAACACTTTAATTTTTGTACTCATTATTTATTCTTTTTTGCTGTTTTCTCTCTTATATTATATTGTCGTGTTCTATGTCGTGTTATTTTTAGTGTTTCTTTTTCTTATATATTATTATTTATTATAATTATGATTGTTAAATATATACCAATAATTTCATATATATACATATATAAAAAATTCACAATTCCTTAAGTGTATATATACATATTTAAAAATAAAATTGTAGAAAAAAATATATAAAAATGTTAAAAGGAAATAATCATTTATTTCATCTTCTTATATATATTATACGTTATAATATGCTATACATTGATATATATATATTTCTATAATGATATATGAATTATTTTCATTTACTTAATATATTTGAATAATTGAATGTATATATAAGATATATGTATAAATGTAATCAAAAGGATAAAATATATACTTAAATACTATTAATGATGAGGAAAGGGAATCTTTTTACTGATGAAAAAATATATTTTATATAAATATATATATATATAATAGAGATATATGGGAGAAATTAACAAATAAAAATTTTACGGTTTTTAGGTAGAAGAGTTTTTCGTTTTTTTTTTTTTTGTTTTTATTATACAATTGAAATTAATCGTAAAATTATCTATCATTGAATTAATATTCGGAAATGTTTAATTTATTATTTATAATATTGTGTACATACATGTATACATACTTTTTAAATATTTATGTATATAAAATTAAAGATATTCCTCAATTAAAATAAAAATTATATTAAATATTATATTTGAATAATTTTACCAACTCTAACATTTTACAATTCTATTATATAGGTACATATATAATTACGAGTAATTTGAATAAATATTAATATAAAAGTAAACAAACAACTGACTTGTTAGAAACTGACTTGATATTATAGTTAGAAATGAAAAATATTCAAATATTGGAAATTTTAGTTCATAGTATAACAAAAACAAAAAGATGACTTAAAGCTTCTTACTAATTAGAATATATTAAATTCTGAAAATCTATAATTATAATTAATTGTTTATGTTATATGAATGGGACTTAATAATATTTTAATGAAAAATTTTCTCCATTTTAGTTTTGTTATACTTTTTAATTTCACTGTCAAAGGCGTTATTAGAAAAAAATATTTATAGAAATTCTAAACCTTTTAATATATTTTTTCTTACTATAATAATATTGACCTAAAATTGAAGGTTTCTTTAGACAAAATGCAATTACTTTAAAAAGGGAACTAAAAAAAATAAATCAAAGTTAAAATATACAAAAAATTGCTACTAGCAAAATAATGGGGAAATGCCAGCAAAGATTTTGCCAATATAGCTAAAAACTAGATAAATTGTTCTATCGTTCAAATGATTGTTTTGACAAAAGATTGTTGAAATCGTCATTTTAAGTGTATTCTGAATATTATCCTATTTAGTAATGATTACGTTTCCAAATTGGTTCTGTCCTTTTACAATTCAATTGTAAGCATCACAAAGTTTTTGTTTTAATTGTAACATCACTGCTACAAAAATATTTCAACTTGAAAAAAATTCTATTATAAATATTTTATTTGTTTTTTGTTTCATTTATAATACATAAATTTATATTAAATTTTCTTTCTGTTGTTTTTGTTCTTTCAATTTAGGCGATTCAATTATTCTAAATTGCCAAGCAGATGGCACACCAACACCAGAGATTTTATGGTACAAAGATGCTAATCCAGTCGATCCATCATCTACTGTTGGTATCTTTAATGATGGTACCGAGTTACGGATATCCACAATCAGGCACGAGGACATCGGAGAATACACGTGCATTGCTCGCAATGGTGAGGGACAAGTCTCCCATACGGCCCGTGTTATAATAGCGGGCGGCGCTGTAATCATGGTAAAAAAGCAAAATCAATTGAAAACCAAAAACAATCAAAAAAAAAAAAAGAAAAGATAGAAGCAAAAAGAAATTTTTTTACAAAATTGAAAAATTTTTTCTAAAAATTTTAAATTAGCAAAATTTTTTGGAATTTTTACAAAATTTTTAAACAAAATTTATTTTATTAAATTTGTTTTTTTTCTATTATGTTTTTTTTTTTCGTTTTTTCAATTTATTATTTCATTTTTTAATATAATTTATTTTAATTTTATTTATTTCAAATTAATTTTTATTGGGTTGGAATAAGAATAGTAAAATATGAATTTATTAGATCCTTTTTTTAAGTATAAGTTTAAACTTTTTTAACCCTATTGTATATACTAAAATTTCAAATAAATGAAAAAAATTCTAATAAAATAATTCCGAAATAAAAATGAGTAACTATAAAAACAATAATTTTTATGTACACACTGTACATTATTATGTACAATGATTCGCAACGTATGTCACCATAGGGTTAATTTAGTATAATTTCTATAATATAAAATTAAAATTTTAGATTATACCCCCCTATATTATGAATAACTATTAATAACAAATTTAAAAATATCATAAACTTATCATTTAATTGTTAAAAAAATCTTTCATGCTGTAAATAGAGAACTCCAATAAAAAAAAAAAGTTTGGTAAAAAAGAACAAAAGTATATACATTAAAACGGAATATCCTGCATGTTGCATGCTTTAAAATATAATTCTTAAGCAAAATATCAAAATTAAAATCATTTATATCATTTATTTTACATTTGTCCTGCAATAATGTGAATTCAATAAAATATCTATATGTTTATATGTCATAAAACAATTCAAAAAAAAAAAAAATCTATATATAAATGTATAAAATTATCATTATTTTAGTATTATATGTGATAAAATTTTAGGTGTTTCAACTTTAAATAACACTTGTATTTATTGTTGGTTTAAATCTTTTTTTAAAAATTTTTAATTTCCCTCAAAGAAGATTTCCAAATAAAACATTAATAATGACAAATTTAAGAAATTATTTTACTCAATTGGCAACAATCAACTCGCTATCCTATATATTTTTGAAATTCTATTGTGAATATTTATTGTGTCAAAAAATTTATTTTCTATTTTATATTGTAATTCAATTTTATTCTCAAAATTTTTAAAAAATTCCATTTTAATCAATTAAATTTCCCTTCTAGGTTGTTAAAAGAATAGAAATTCTTGTATAATAGCAAATTTGCTCTAATTCATGAAAAATTTTAAATATTTAAAATACTGAAATAAATAGTTGATTTTAGTTCTATTTGAAAAGTGGATAATTAATTCCCCTTTTATAAATTCAGAATTAATTGTTCTATTTTATTTAATTTTTTAATACTATATTATTCCAACAAATTATGTTTTGTTAATTTAATAATTTATTTTTTAAATTTACAACTTTTTTTTTCACTTTAGATTTATTTCTTCTTTCTTGTTTTTGTTGTTTGTGTAATTTTCTATAATTTTCATTTAATTATTTTTTAATATTTTGTCAGTATTTTTTATTGTAATGTGTTTTTTTTCTTTATGATTGTAAACAATTAAATTCCCTTTACTATATGGTAACAATTTTACTTTTAATTCTGTATACAGCAATTTTGACATAAAATAAAGTACTTGTCCAATTGTACTTGAGTTTTTTGCTGTCATTCAGTTGTTACCTAATAATGGGAATTCAAATTCACTTTGTTATAAAATATTGTTGTTCTTTTTAATTTATATGTTTTTATTTATTTATTTGAATCTATTGTAAAATAGAATATTTCTATATTTTCTTGTAAAAATTTTAATTATTTAGTTATGAAAATAATTTATTTACATATTTCGTTAGCTCAAACATCCACAATAAATGTATGATGTTTAGCAAAATTTTGTATATATATTTATTTTATATATTATGTAAATTATATTTTTTTTTTTTTATAATTTCAATTTTTGTTCATTTCTTTTTCAATAATTTGTTTATAGTTTGTTTAAATAAATTCAAAAAAACTAGTAAATTACAATAAATACAAAAATAAAAAATTTAATTGGCAAAAATTTGAAATTGTAAAGAAAAAAAAAACAAATTAAATCAAGTACAAATATGAAATAATTTATTTCGTAAAATCTTATGTTGTTGTCGCCCCCTATTGAATAATTCGTGTTCCCATTTAATATATATATATATTTTTAAACTTTTATTAAAAAAAAAATTATATAAAATAAAATTGAGAATAAGTTGAAAGAATATACTAAAATAATATTTTAATTAATTTAAATTTCCAAAAGAGAATAAAATTTTATGAAATATTTAAAAAAAAAATCAACTAATAATAATTAGGTAAACAGAAAATGTAACAGTAAATGTAAAATTTAATAATAACACGGTAATACTGTTCGATAGGAATTATAATAATATTCAGAGTGTGATTAATTTTACATGGGGGTTGTAAGATGTTCGATGAAAGAAGAAATGAGGAAACCCCTAAAATAAAAAAGCAAATAACAAAAATTTTGTGTATTTGCCAAACATATTTTATTTTATTTAAGTCAAAGTATTACAACTCCACTACATTCTAAACATGTTCCCTATGGAAAAGTAAAGTAATTGAGTTTACTCTAACATTCTTGAGTAAAATCAATTCTCATGTAATTGACTTTATTCTCAAAATTCTCAAACAGTAGCGATAATATTTTCATAATGTTGACGAACTAGCAATGTCTTATATTGACCATAATAATTGATGTTTTGTTGAAAATGAAACAAAATCAAAATTGTACAGAAAATTAAAGTGGAACATGTTCTCTTAAAAAATTTCTTGGCTGACAAAACTTATTTCATTTGAAATACTTAATTTTCTATAAAAAATTTTCTCATTTTCTAACTCGGTTGATTTTTAATGTCTCTATATATATATATTTTTTTAAATATTCATATATAATTTTATTCTAAATATAATTTTTTTTTTTTCTAATATTTATTAACTAAAATTTCAATAAATATTTTATTTTAATTATTTTATTATTTTAAGAAAAATAAAACAAAACTTTGATATGACAAGCATAATAAAAATTTTAAAATTTTATTTGCACAAACAAATTTTTTTTATTTAATTTAGAAAAAAATTCTTAGTTCTTATCATCACCGCAATATTAAAATATTAGAAAAAAAAATGTGTCTTTAAAAATATAAATTTTAAATTTTAAAAAAATTAATAATTTTTTTTAGTGTTTAGAATAAAATTCTTTCAACTTCTTCCGAATTTATATATAAAATAATTTATTATTAAATTCATTAAATCCATTTTCATTCCAAAAAAAAAAAAAAAATTATACAATAATTGAAATTATCATCCAATAAAATGTTTTTTATGTGTGTTCTTTTTTTTAAATTTTTTATTTTCAATTATTTGAGAATTTACACAATATCAAATTGCTTTTCAATTATTTTATTGTCTTATATGTAAGCTAAATATTTATTTTAATGTTGCGAATATTAAATTTTTTTTTTTTTGATTGAACTAAATGATATGCAAATTCTAATTATGAAAATATGTTCTTTAATATTTTAATGAATGGATTGGACAAGATCATAAAAATGCCTATTGTATACTCATTTTAAATATAGTAGAAATTCCTCTCTTGTAAGCCGATGCTCCTTAAAAATCCTTTCATGTAGTTTCTTTAACAAAAATAAACTTAAAAATAAAATTTCAAAAAATATTGAATTTCTTCAATGGATTCTATGTCCATAATATTTTCCTACTTACATAAAAATAAAAATTGAACAGACTTTTATTTCTCCAAAAAACTAGTTGATTTCATTCTTAATTTTAGCCAGAATATAAAATTTCCAGAAAATCGGTTGATTACTTTGTAAAAATGCAAATTCTAAGTTGTTGCTTTTCCGAAATAATTTTTGAGTATATTTTTGATCAAATACTCGGTTTCAATTTGCATTATTTAAAATTGTAGTGCAAAATCTTTCTTTGTACTTATAATTAAATCCTATATACTCAAAAATTACCTTTTTTCTTCAAATATTATTAGAAAAATTTGGAACGCAAAAGCTTTCAACAATTTTAATAGATAACAAGCGGGAATTTGCTGCATTTCAAGTATTTGTAATTTGCAACATTAAAATAAACACGTAGCTTTGATTTAATCTAATTTTTAATTGATTTCTCTTAAAATTTGAATCTTTTTTATAGACAAATTTTTTTTTTTTTTATTATCATAATAAATGTTATTACATCACTCTTATTTTTTTTTTTTTAGAAATTAAATTTAAAAAAAAAAACAAATTTGTATACAATTATAAATATTTTGGTTCTATTTAATTTTGCTAATCAAGAAAAAATTTTAAAAATATTTATTTTTAATTTTATTTATTTTATTTTCCTTTTTTTTTTCATATTAATTTCATCCACCTTATAAAATTGCTTTAACATATATATATGTATATATATATACATACATATTGCATCGCATCATAATATGGCGCATATGTTTGAATTAAAAAAAAAAAAAATGTTTATGCTGTGTGCGTTGTGCAACTTTACCACAATTTCGCCATTAATCAACAAAATATACAAATATATTTTTATAAAATAACATTTAATTTATACTATTATCAAATTCATCATTCAAATCATTTAAATTAAATTTTATTGCGCAAAACAAAACAAAAAAAACAAATATTAAATACCCATTTAATATGAACATTTGAAATTATTTTTGGTTTCATGCAACTTTTTAACTATTCTATTATTCAAAAACAAAATATTGCATACCCCATAAAATTTAATTCCGAATTGATCAACCGAAAAAAAATATAAACAAAAATATTTTATATGCAATAAATAATTTATCTTATATATAACAAAACAAATATATATAAAACAAAACCAAAAAAAAAAAAAACAAACAAAAAAAACAAAAACACACAAACGAAATAAAAATCAGGTGCCGCCCACCAATCAAACAAAACTAGAGGGGGAGAAGGCGACATTCCAATGTGAAGCAAAAGCGATGCCAGGGAATGTCACCGTCCGATGGTTTCGTGAAGGTTCACCCGTTCGTGAAGTAGCGTCATTAGAAACACGAGTCACTATACGTAAAGATGGCTCATTAATTATAAATCCAGTTAGTGCTGATGATTCCGGTCAATATTTGTGTGAAGTATCAAATGGTATTGGTGATCCTCAAAGTGCATCAGCTTATTTAAATGTTGAATGTAAGCCTTTCCAAAATATAACAAAAAAAAAAATTTTTTTTATTTTTAAAAATACTTTAAAATTTTTTTAATATTTTAGATCCCGCAAAAGTGACCTTCACACCAACCGTACAATATTTACCATTTCGTTTAGCCGGAATTGTACAATGTTATATTAAATCAAATCCACCATTACAATATGTTACATGGACCAAAGATAAACGTTTGCTAGAAGTATATCAAACTAAGGATATTGTTATTATGAATAACGGTTCATTATTATTTACACGTGTTAATGAAAATCATCAAGGCCGTTATACATGTACACCATATAATGCACAAGGTACACAAGGTTCATCGGGTCCAATGGAAGTTTTAGTACGTAAACCGCCAGTATTTACAATTGAACCGGAAACGCTGTATCAGCGAAAAGTTGGTGAAACAGTTGAAATGAATTGTGATGCACAAGAGGGTGAAGGTACACAACGACCAAATATACAATGGCAACGTCAAGAGGGTGTTCCATTACAAAAGAATCGTGTTAAAATAAATGGTGGTAATATTACAATTGAAAATTTAAGACGTGAAGATTTTGGTTATTATCAATGTGTTGTATCAAATGAAGTAGCAACAATTGTATCAGCAACACAATTAGTTATTGAAGGTACACAACCACATGCACCATATAATATATCTGGTAAAGCAACGGATACATCAATAACATTACAATGGATGCCAGGTTATAGTGGTGGACAAGATTATAAACAAGATTATACAATATGGTATCGTGAAGCTGGTATATCTGATTGGTTAACAATACCAGTAACACCATCAGGTAGTACACAAACAACAATACATAATTTAGCACCAGGTACAACATATGAATTTCAAGTTGTTGGTAGAAATGCTCTTGGTGATGGTATGATGAGTAAAATAGTTACAGTTAGAACTCTGGGTAAGTTACTTTACTAAGTTATCAAAAAAAAAAAAATTATTTTAAATCAAAATTATTCTAAACTGTTAAAACAAAAGGTATATATTATATTATATATTTCTTTATATATATATATGTGTATAAAAAATATATACATAAATTTAAAATGCACAAAATTTAAATTTCTAAAAAGTTACAAAAAAAAAAAAACAATTAATTATCGAATAATCAGGAATTAAATTAGTATTGATTGCTCTTTTTATTAATTTTTCTATAAATATATACGATTATTTTTCAATAACCTTCAGCAGCAATGGCTCCTAGTCAAGAAAAAACTACTTCCGCGCCTGCTACGAAAACAACTAAAGAATCTGACCTTGATCCAGGCCCAGATGGTAAGATAATTAAAGCAAATGACTAAAAAATATCATCTCATACAAAAATCATACCACATTTTTTATTCACTCACATTATGCATACATACCTACATATGTATATATACATATATATAGAAATATTATACATATATATAGAAAAATATCCAAGTATAAGAACATAATAACATTTTTTCACTCATATCAAATTTCATTTTTAATTTTTTTTTTTTACATTCACAAATGGTTATTATCTAATTCCCTAATACTCACAATTTATAATAAATTTATAATAATGTTATATAATGCTATAAAAATAGTAATGAATGCTATAATATAATGAATGTTTAGAAAATTATCCAAAAATTTTCAACAAAAAATATTGTTTATTTTTAAGTTTTTTCTTTTATTTAAAGTATTATTTCACTTTAAGGAATTTTAATTTAAAATTTTTAGGTTATATTATGTCATTGCATACGCATAGGTCATCAAGATGTGAACAACGATATTGATGAACTGTAAATTATTTGTTAATTATTCTTAATTATTTTTAATTATTGTTTATTTTTAAATATTAAATTAGTTATCATTTCAATTAAATTTAATCGAAAATGTGTTTAAAATTAATATATTATGTATGTTAAATATATTTGGGCAGTTGTAACTTAATACTGATTTCAAAATAAGTCAATTAACTTGACACTTGTCACAATTTGATGACGTAATTAATATAAGTGCAAAATTTTGTAATATATAAAAAGAGCTTATATTCAAATTCTCATAACTTAAATTGAATTCCGAGAAATGTCAAATTTAAATATACTTAGAATCAGTACACCCCTCTATTCCGAATTTTAATGAAAAAAAAAATATCTGCATATATTAAAAGATTCCCTGAAATTGTAAATACCGTAAATTCTTTACTTGAAGAGCAATAAATATCTTGTTTATGGTAAGTAAGAGACAAGAGCAAAGATTTACGCGTTCAAAAAAAGAGAAATTCCAATTAATTCATTTTTACTATTTTGTGCATTGAATTTTCATGTTCTAAACGAATTTTAATATTCTAACTTTAAAGTCAGAATGATTAACTAAATGAAAATCAAAAATTTAAAAAGTTTTTGCGAAACTATTTAAAATATAATTGTATATGTAATCATTTACAGAAGAAAGGGTAAAATATATTCAAATTTCAACAACAACTGATCCTAGTATTCCAGCATTTTTTGTTCCAATGCTTAAAATGAAAGGTACAAAATTTTAATGACAGACAGTAATAATTAGTGTTTTTTTTCAATGGTTTCGTTTGTTTTTATTCATAAAATAATGTGTTTAAAATTTGTCTATAATACTCGTAATCTAACTTTTGACCATTTTTCATACTATTGTTAAATTTACAAATTACATAATTTTATATAATTAAAATTTTTTTCTTATTATTTAATTTTTTATTTGTAAAATTTTACAAATCGTGTGCATAATATTTAATTTACTATTATTAAACATAATCACAAATTTTATTTTATTTAATACTATAATTATACATAATATAATTAATTTATCAATTAAATAGATGCTTGAATTAAATTAGAACCTCATCCACATATTTGAAACTAAAATATAAACAGAATAAAAGTCATTTTGACACAAAGATTATGAAAATTTTTTATTTTATTGACAATTCTCATAATTTTTAAAGTATTAAATTTTATTTAACAAATATAACTTGCTATTTCCACCTATAATTTTGATCGGCTGTGGCTTTATTAAATTGGCAAATCAAATCAAATTTAAAGAATCCCTAAATTTGTACATGTGTTCGCATGTTTTTTAATTTGCTTTTAAATGTTTCCCTTTTTTAATTTTAAATATTTCAAATAAAATTTAATTACACTAAATATACAAAAATTTTCTAATACTCAGAAAACATATTATAACATTAAACTAATTTTTCATAATTTCATGTGTTCATTTAATTTGAAAGAATTTTAATAAAAAAAATTTATATACTCTATTAATTTTTTTAACATTTTTTTAGGACCAAAACCTGGCCCACCAAGAAATCTAACTGTTACAGAAATATCAAATGGATTTTTAATAACATGGCAATCACCATTAGAACGTGCACATATGGTTAAACATTATACAATTAAATATCGTACAGATGCTGCATGGAAAACATTAAATCGTGGATATATACGTCCAGAAGAGACACAATATTTAGTTAAAAATTTAGTTGGTGGTCGGACATACTATTTTCGTGTATTAGCTAATACGGATAAAACATATGCTATAAGCGATGAAGTTAAATTTCCAGTTCCGGCACGTGTTAAACATAAAGCAATAACAGCCGGTGTTGTTGGGGGATTTTTATTTTTTATAGTTGCAATTATATTATCTGTTTGTGCTGTAAAAATATGCAATAAAAGAAAAAGACGAAAACAGGAAAAAGGTAAAAAACTGATTTTATGATATTTAGAAGGATTTTAATATGGTGATGGTTTTAACTAGGATGCTAATATCACTTTTCTTTTCTTTTTTTTTATAGTATATTTTTTCTTTTTTAATTTATTTTCAATAATTAACAAAGCCATAGTTATATATCTTACTTGTGTACTAATTTTTAATTTAAATACAAAAAAAAAAAAAAAACAATTACTTTGTACAATTTTTTCCTTATAAGATTATAGAATTATTTTAAAAACCGAAATTCTGTAAATTAAAACTAATTCTTTTTATTAAATTAACGTAAAACTTTGTTAAGAGAATTCTGTTTTACATATTATATAATAAACTAATAATATTGGGCATGTTATTTTTAAAATTTTCATAAAAAAATTTCTCTTTTTTTTTTTTTTTTTCTTAAGCTTTTTTAAAACTGTTGAATTCTCTGATCGATAGCAATTTTAATAGCTTGTATAATACTACTGAATGCTGTACAATAGAGAGCTATTGTAGATTAAATTTAAAATTAATAATTTGAAGCTTTTTTATAACACTAATATTTCATATATGTAGTCATATAATTCTGTAGTTTCTAATTTGGATTGAATAATTTTCACAGTGTGAATTTATAGTAGATTATAACGAAAAAGTAACTTTTCTAAAAAAAAAAGTACAAAATGGATTTTTACACTAATTATACAAAAAATAATAAATTTTAAAAACAAAATCATTGAATATTTAAAAGTAAAATGCAGAAATAATACAAAAATATACAAGGGCCTTTTTTTTTGAAAATTTTATTTCGGCGTTTATTAAAATACAAAAAAAATATACGACAAAATCTAACAGTATTCCTTATTACAATATTCTTTAATTTCCTCTTGACCAGCTACAATCATATTATCAAATGAAACTGAAACGAAACATTATTTTCAGAAATTTGCAGTTATTTAAAAAAAAATGCATTCAAAAACAGAGGATGCAATCAATGAGAGAATGGACTCATTGATAATACCTACCGAACTATAAATTTTTAGTAACAGGGTATTGAACTGCACATAAAATAATCAAAATTTTGCATAAAAAACTCAAACTATGAATTCTTTACTAATAACTCCAGTTTGGAAGCTAGAGTATATTTCAACTTTTTTTTATCTAATCTCCCTCACAAAAAAAAAAAATTTTATGTTTTTAAAATCCACATGGAAATTACAATTCAAATATGATCAAAAATTAAAAAAATTAATAAGTCAATTGAAATAACACAATTTTTTAGTTTTCAACATTAAATGCAAATATACGATATATACGAAATTCGAAGCACGTTAAATATTCTTTAATAAATCTAACAAATTTACGAAACATTTTCCTCTATTACATTAAATATATAAATTATATACGATTAATTTTGGATTTGGTTATAATATTTTGGAAAAAATTGAACAAATCTTAGTCATTTCATTAAAAAATATCATTATTTTATATAATAATTTAAATTTTATAACACGCTTTTAAAATAATTTAAAATCATTTATATTAAAACCATATACATATTAATTGATTTTGTATTTTAACAGGACTATAAATACAAAAAATTATATAAATTAATTTTTTTTTTTTGTTGAATAAATTTTACATAAATTATGTATACCTTACCTGTACCTATATACCTATTTATTTTATATATAGAAAATATTAATTATATGATTCAAAAATATATAGTGAGTCAATTCAGCAAATTTAATTCTTGTATGAATTTTAAACAAAAATTTAAAAAATTTTTATAGCTTTTATAATAAGATAATTTTTTATTAATAACGAAATTTTCGATAGCTTAGTCAATTAAAATTTTTTAATAAATTTTTTACAAAATTAAAATGCTTATCATTTCATCTTACTTATTACATAATTACGATTTTGAAAATCTAATCTTATATATTCTTTAATATTAGCATTTTTTTTTTTTCTCTATAATTTTAAAATTTAAATAATTAAATTAGAATTTCAATTGCTGAATTCGATTTTCGATTTTTTTTCATTCGTCATGCTTTTATTACAATTTATATGTAAGCATATAAAATCATATATAATGTTCATTAAATGCTTATATAACCTATAAAATATATAGCAAGAATAAAAAAATCATTCTTAAGCATTTTATAATTTCTTTAATTCATTTTTAATTTCCTTAAAAATACAAAAAAAAAAAAATTAAAATATTTTTTAAAGAGCATCCAGTACCATCACCATAGAAAGATTTTTTGGAAAAGCCGTGTCCTTAAATATATATTTTGTGCTCCTACATAAGACAAGGGCGTACCTACAAAAAAAAAAAAAAAAAAAAAGCTAAAACAAAAGTATTTGCTGTGTTTTCTCAAAATTTTTTTTTTTTTTTAGTTTTTTCTTTATAGTTTTAAATCGATTTTTTAATTTCAAGATTTTGTTTTTAGTTTTATATGCGAATAATTAATTAATTAATTGAATACCCTCCTCCCTTTTCTCTTTCTTTTAATGTATGATTAATCACATATACTCACACAGTTTACAATATCTATATTAATTTTAATAATAAAATAATTTAATAATAAAGAATGTTTAAATATTAATAAAATTATTAATTTATTAGAAATATATTTAATAAATAAAATAATAAAAAAAAAATTGAAGATTGTTTTGAAAATTCACTTTTATTTTTAATTTGTATTTTGTTTTTTTTTTTGTTTTTTAATAAGTATATACTAATTATTTGATTGGTTTGAATTAGAAATAAATATTGTGTACTAAATATTTACAAATGCTAATATAAAATAAATAATTTTATAATACCGATAATTTTTTGTAGAAAATAATAAATTTTAGTTAAGATTTTAATCCTGTGAGTATAAGAAATTAATTTTATTTTTTTGTTTTTGTAAAAAATCGGAATATTTTTTTTTTGGATATTTTGAAAAACATAAAGTAAATTGTAATAAGAAAAAAAATTTATAAAATCATTAGATCTATTTAATTTTTATTTATATTTTTTGTTTTCTATAACATTTCGTTTACTTAATTCGAATTCAGTATAAAATAAAATGTAAAAAAATTAGAATAATTTTTTGGTGGTTTGCATCCATTTTATTTTGATTGTGAATTTCTTTTTTTAAATGAAAATATAAAATAAAAACACAATAATTAAATTTTTGTTTTTCAATAAAAAAAAAAAAAAAAAAAACTATTTTATTAATTTTTTTTTTTTTTTGTGGACAAAAAAAAATATATATTAAGGATGGCTAATGCTATAACCAAATTAATTGTAGAAATAATTCGATTACAGAGTTCAACATGGTAGCTTGTAGGATAACGGATGCCCGTAATGCTGCTAGTCGTACGGGCTCTGCTTCCAGTAGTCAAGTGCCTTTGAAAAAGTGAGTATATTTATTATGAATTTTTGATTTTATATTCATATGTTTTATTCAAATTATCAAACATATAAAAATATTTTCTAACAGGAGGTTTTTGTTTTTGAAATAAACTAATACTAATACTAATAAATTTTTAGGTATCTCAATTTAAATTTAAAATAAAATTAAGAGTAAAGTTCTTTGATACTGTTATATTACTAAAATTTTAATTATTTTGATAACTAAATTCAGGAATAATAGAATTAATTCTTAATATTTACTTTAAAAATTGTAATTGGTCTTTGAATAGTAATTTCTTTTACTAACTTAAACAATTTCAGCAATGAAATATTTTTTCATTGGACTTTTACATTTCACAATAATGGAATGCATATCAATTTTAATAACAATAATTTGTTTAGTATATATTATTTTTTTTCCAATTTATTATGATATATTTATACTTTACTTGTATATAAATTAGAACTTTTATATTTGAATCATTCAATATTTTAATAATTAATTCGAAATTGAAAAAGTTTATATATATTATGTATGCATAAGGAACATAATCAAATATTTCGATAAGTTAATTCAATATGATTAAATAAGATAGGTACAGAGAGAATTTTATGAGGTTGTAGCAACAACAGGGTTTGATCTTTCAATTACAGCTTCCAGAATGTTGCTAGATTTAAAGATCTATTGCTGCGTTCTTCCCACGAGTGCTCCATAGAGCACCCTCACATTTCTGTTGAATCAGAGCAATTCTTTTGAGGGGGTAATTTTTCAGGATTGTTTATGACCGACTTAAACTGCGACCGCTCCTGATTTTAATTACGTAAATCCTAATTACAACAACGTGATCATATTGCTATGTGGCACCCGCAGTAACCCTTATTTAGATTAAATTGAGGGCAACTTTCTATAGCGTGTATTTTCGCCTGAAAGATACTTGAATACATCCTCAACGATTCGTATTTTCCTTCGACATTCCACTCAACCGAATCATGGTTGCTCTTGTCGCACTCTTGAAGTCCAAATGCAATGGTAATAAGTCGAGAATAAGCCGTCATGGAGCGGATTTTCATGGCAACTGTCATACACACGGATGTTCGTTGTTTCTCATACATAGCGAAAGAAAAAAGTATTAAATACGATGTCCGCTATTTTGTGAAAGTAGGCAAACCTATAACTATAGTGTTATATTAGAAAGTCTCATTATATTTACGCTTAACTTGAAACAAAGCGAAAATTTTTTATCATTACTTTATCGGTATCGTATTTATTTTCATCTCCGTTGCTGCTTCTTCTCTTGCAATGGCTAAACTGTAAGCAATGCAAATTGCTTCCTATCCTAGAACAAAAATCTCCTATTCTGACCCTTTCTGATTTTCTTACGAGATTTTCATCACTTTTATTTATTTTCATCGGATCTTTTTCGACCTTATTGTTTTGTTAAGTTGCTGTTTGATTAGATTTTAGAAATCTCAAAGACGAAATTTTTCTGAGTTAAAAAAACAAAACTGTTCATTAAAACTTTCAGAGCAGTATCAGCCAATATATTTTATTATTTTATGCGCAAACTTCGTTTATCACACTAAATAAAAATTTATAATAATATTTATAGAGTTCTTATTTACTTACTATATTAAATATTTTTAATAAATTGCTATAATAAAATAATTTAATTAATTTTAAAATAAAAAATTTTCTTCTCACAAAATAAAATATTAACAATAATAAAAGCAGGAGTAATTCTGAACATTTTAAAGATTATGAAACCGTTTTTATTGTACCAGGCCCATGTCACAGTCATTCTAATCATAATCGTAAGATTTTCATATTTTTTTATCCGAATATATTTATTTATATGTATGAATGTGTATGTTTTCGAAATAAAAGATTTTTATATAGAATAACTAAATGGGAATTTGATTATTATTAGAATATTTTCAATATTTAATTTAATTAATTTTTTATATTAACACAATAAAATATACATTTTTATGTATTTATTTGTAGAATAATTTTTTTTGTCAATCCAAAAATAATATCTGGAAATACTTCAAGAATACAGAATTTATTTTGTTTTAAAAGGAATATATACAACAATTAAATTTTATTTAAAAATTGAGGGATATTCTGAGGAGCGGTTAACTAATTTATTGATAGTGATATTTTATACCAGCATAAATTTTGACAATTTTATTGATTTGTGCTTACAATAAAAAAGTGTCTTTCTTTCAATGATAAATATCAGTAAAACTTGTTGAATCGCGTCTAAGAGTAAGCCCCATTTATTCCCGAACAGATTTAAAAATTTTTAAAAATACTCCTAATAGTTTTTTGTTCAACTCTTAACACAATTAATTCATTACAGGAAACGATCCAAGCTAACAATTTACAATACGTTTTTAAATTTACGTTACGTAACATACTGCACATATGAATTAATATTTTAATTTAATCTACAAAATTTTACAATATCATTCAGAAAAAATCGCACCTTTCTTAAATTTACATTTCCAGTTATTCAAGTTAGTCAATAATTCAATAGCAATAAAATTATTTTTACTCGACGTAAAAAATATTTTGTATTTAGCGATTTAAAGTTAAGGGTATTTTGGGATTTTAATGGAATATTACTCAAATAACTGAAATTTTTACACTTGATTAACTCAATCTATTTCTTTTTAATTATTGCTGCTCTTTGTGCTGATTTTATAAATGGACATTTGGATATTTTATTTGAAATTTCAAGATTAAAAGGTGAAATAATTAATTTGTCCATGATTAATCACCAACATTCAAAACACAATACAATTTTTTACATTTTACATTTCCACTTAAAATTTTAGTTCAATTACTCTTTTTATTTTAAAAGCATGTTTTATAGTTTACGTTTAATCATTGAGTGTTTTATATTTTGTAGCGTGTTTCTTAGATTTTAATTATTTATTTATTTAAAAATAAAGAAAATTAAATTCAATTTAAATTTCTTTTAATTAATAATGTAATTATTAACAATAAAATTTGTTTTTCAATTTAATTTTATAATTTAATTTGATTTCAATGTTATAGTATACGAGTATAAGTAGATGGTTTAGATTCTTTAATTTAGTTCATTATTGTAAAGGAATTAATAAAATATTTTTTTCAAACTTCTTACTTATTTAGATATAAACAAACCAGAATATCAGGTGTAATTCATATTTTCGTTGCAATACTTCATTGGATTTGGCCACCAGATCGCTGTACAAATTGTCATTCAATATATAGTATGCCAAAAGGTGTTAATACCGATCAACTACATAACGTTGGAGAAATTCATCGTTCTGTAGATGGACGTTTTGTATTAACATCTAATGGAACTGATATAAAACAAAGAACAACAATACAAGACCAAGATGTTGTAGATGGTTTATCACAAACAGCAGCTGACGAAATAATTGATGATCGTCGCCAAAGTACTTCTGGTGGTTCACAATATTCTAGTAGTGATGATGGTGGATTTTTACCACGAAGACGTGGTGGTGGCGCTGATATGAGATCATCATGGCGGCGACCTCTGGTAGCATCACCAAGTCAATTAAGTTTTCGTTCAGAAAATTCAGCACGGTCATTTTTACAAAATTTGGGTGAATTTTTTCTTCAAACCGCTAGACGTAATCATCGTCAAAGTAATTTAGCAAATTATCAAAATATTTATAAAAATTATCCATTACCGCAAACGCCTATTATTTCAACAGTACAACAAAATATTAAACCCTCAAGTACAAATTACATTCCACAACATTTATTGAATCAAACACCAACAATGTCAAGTTCAAAAATGTTTACAACACCATCACGTGTTTCAAGAATTTTTTCAAGTTCACCTGCAAGTACAATTGGTGTCCCTTCGACACCATGGCAACAAAACACTAACCAATTTAGTGATTTAAGTACCGTTTATCCTGGTTCTGCGGAACGATCATTTCCACACTCAAGTTTCTCTACATCATTAAACAATCGTTTTAGATACTCATATGAATTACCATCATTAAGAACAATTCAAGAGGAAACTCGTCGTATGAATCAGGGATTTGTGCCACTTCACATACCATCACCTTCATGGAAAGGTTATTATCATACACAAACACCTTATCATAGCTACAGGCCAAGAACGAGATGGTATCCCAGACATTTCAGTCGCACAATACGTAGTAATTCTGATCTTTTATCGCCTTTGCCACATTTAAATTTATCAATGCGTGGAACGACTCATCTGGGTCATAGCGGTTTAGAAGTATCTCCGGAAAGTCGTTCCAGTTCAAGTGGTTTTGGGAGTAAAAATACGTCAAATAATCCACAAACTCAACATGGATCTCATCATTCTAGTAGTACAAATGAATGGCGTTTATTACCGCCATATAGACCACCACCACCGCCTCATTATCATCCATATTATCCAAATTTTAATACATTTAATTATAATAGTTTATTACATCAACAAGCGACTGCACCATCATCTTCATCATTTACGTTGCCACATCATCATCATCATCAATCTCATCAAACATCATCATATTTGCAACAACAGCAGCAACAACAGCAACAACAACAGCAACAACAAAATCAGCAACAACAACACCATCAACCGCCACAATCTTATCAATCAAATCAAGATACTCCAAGTCCACCATATACAATGCAACATTGGTTAGACATGATATCAAGATTAAATGCTGCAACCGAAATTAATAATATACATCACCATAAATCTGTTGATGTTGGAAGTGTTGACGGTCATTACGAATTTGATCCATCAACACCAACACCAAGTGCATCAACACCAACTGGCAATCCACGTGATGAATTATTATTAGATCCATCAATTTTCGGTGCATTAAATCCAAATACAACAACTCATCATCATTGGGGTACATCATTAAGTGGCTTTAATACATTAGCTGGACCATCAACATCAACAACATTATTAACATCATCTGGTACAAGTTCAACTGGAGTTAGAAAGCAACGCATTTCACGCTACGATAATATCGAAGCCAGAGTTCAAGCAATGAAAGAAGAATTTTATGCCTATCGTAAACGTCAAGCAATGAAAAGAGCTGGCGTTGAACTTGAAAGTGCATGTTAAAAACATACAACAAAAATTAAATTTTAATTAAAAAAAAAAACAAACCCTATTCATATAATACATATTATATTGTATACACATATATAAGTATATATATGTTTATATATATATATATATGTAGCATACAATATATCTGCATATATCTAAATACATATATACACTTCAAAATGGTAATAATTAGCAAACAAAAACAGAAAACAGATTATCGAATTAAAAAATTTCAATGAACGAAGCACAACATAATCCAAAAATTTAAAATAATTAAATGAAATGTAAAAAAATAAAAAAAAAGAGATGGAAATAACAAAACTGAAGAATAAACAACCCATTAAAACAAAACGAAATTGTAAGAAATTAAATAAAATACATTATTTATTTAAAGGAAAAGAAACAGAAAATTATGACTACTGCCAATTAAATTTTAGAAATGAAAATTATAAGTACTTTAAAGAAAAAAAAAAATTAAATAAAATTAGCAAAATTTTAATAAAATAAATAAGTAAATAAATTAATAAATGAATAATAAAAATAATAATAATAACAATGAAGAACGACATTAAGTCACTCGATTTTTAAAATGGGTGAATAAATCAAAAAGTAAAACAAAAAAAAAAACTCAAAACATTTCTCTCAACCTATAGACATATATTTATATTTATATATAAATATATATACATAACATAAGAAGCACTGTAAACTCTTTTTGTATTCTAAAACATAAAACCAAAATAATAATAATTATAATAGAAAAATGAAAACAAAATTTAAATTTAATTAAAAAAAAATTAAAAAAGAAAACATTTTTAAAACAGTTTGGATAACCAATTCTTAAAATAATAATAAAAAAACAAAAAACAGAACATTAAATTTAAAAAAATCTACTCAAAATTTATTTGGTAAAATATAAAACAAAAAAAAAACCAAAAAAAAAAAAAAATTAAAAATTTAGTAATCGAGATTTAAAAAATAATGGAATAAAATAAATGTTTTTATTTAAAGATAAATTAATTTATAGCAAAAAATAAAATAAATAAAAGAAGAAAAAAAAAAACATAATGAAAATTATATTCTAAATTAGTCGCAGTGCCATTTAATAAAAAAAAATGAAAAAAAAAAATAATAATAAAAGAATTATTAAAAAAAAAAATTTTTTTAATATTTAAGCACTCTTAATTTCTCATGTTTTATATAAGAATTTTTTAACAAAATAAAATTTAAAATAAAAAAAAAAACACAAAAGAAAAATTTGAAAACAACACATTCACTCGACACACAAACTTTTGCAAAGACACACACACACACACACACATAATAGGTACATCCCAAAAAAAAAATTTATTATTGTCTATTTAAATAACAATGTAAAAAAATTTATAAGGATCTACAATAGATCCTTAAAATAAAATCTCAATTATTTACAACAATTATCTCTCATATTTTCATACAAATACACACCCACTTATGACACCATAAATATTTTTGGCGTTTCTATATTTTTTTTTCTTTTCAATTTTCACTTCCCGTGTATTTTACTACAAAATTTTTTCTACATATATATTTACATTATATATATATATGTATATATACATGAACATATTGTTATCATTATTGTTGTCGTCGTTTTCACATTTAAAAGAAAAACATCATAATTTTATTATCATCGTCATCATTGTAAAAAAATTTTAATTCTGAATTTTTCATTCAGAAACATAAATACATATACATAATATATGTATTATTGGTATATTATATGAAATTATAAAATATCATAAATTCTATTACAAATTTTGTCAATTTGATCAATAAATTTTCCAAAATTCTTATACAAACAAATATAAAACAAATCAAAACATTTGGATTATACAAAACGTTGAACTTAAATTAACTTAATTAAACCAAAAAGAATATAAGAATTCAATTTTAACATTCATTTGGAATTAATTTTAATAAAATTTTTATACACATTATATTTTTAAGATAATACCTATTATAAAAATTTTAATTTATCTCAGTGAATTAAACAAAAGAGAAAATCCAAATCAGATTCTACTTTTTTTTTTTTGAGGTTTTAATCAATTCAATAATTTTATTAAAAAAAAAAACATTTAACTTCAAACCATTCAAAATTAATTTAATGTTATAATCTATCTGATGTTAATGAACCTACATGCATATTACTTGCATGATTTATAAATTAAATTCGATTATATTATTAGTAATTTCAATAAGATTAAATAAAAAGTTATATAATTTTGCATCTCGAATTGACAAAATCTATATAAATACATAGACTTTTTAATATCCTATCTAAAAAAAAATCATTTTGATTTTCTTCAGTATTGTAATCACTAAACGAACTAAAACTAAAAATTATTCCTTTCTCATCTCTTTTTTAATTATAATCTCGCCGATTATAAAACATTTCAAACAAAAATATGAAAATATTATATTATCCACATTTATATATATTTTTATGTATATATATTTATATATATAATTTCTATTAGCCGAACTGTTTTTTAAAATGTAATTATTAAGTACATACGCATATATATATATATATATAAATATACATATATATATAAATATACTAATAATTATATATATATATAAACATACATAAAATTGTTCTAGAAAATGATTAAAATAAATTACAGAAAATTTTAAATTAAAATAAAAAAAAAAATAAAAAAAAAAGACACACAAAAAGAAATGAATCGAACAAACAATTCTTTTCAAAATAATAGCAAAGAAACAAAAAACAAAAGAAGATAACCAAGAACAAATCAAAATAAAATCCAAAAATGTAAAAACAAAAACCACATTTCATCAATTAAAAAATACAATACACAAAAAGAAAAAAACTAAATTTAGATGAAGCAAAAAACAAAGTATAACAATTAAAATTATTAACTAAAACTTATATAATTTAGGAAAAAAAGCACTCGAATTATCCTCTCGTTTATGGAACAAACATATAATAACAAGAACAACAACAAAATAAAAATACTGAAAAAAAAACGATTAATAAAATGTTAAAATAAAAGTTAAATACTCATTGATAAGAATTAAAAATTAATATTTATATTCATACATATATTTAAAAGAAAGGAAAAATTATTATACTATATCTGTATAAATAGTAAATATGTATAAATTTAATAAAAGAAAAAAACAAAAAATAAATACAAATATATTATTGAAAATAACGTCTAAAACAGAAAAACAAAAAAAAAAATTATAAATTATTCTTAGGTAACTTTAGTTAATGATTAAATTAATTAATATAAAAAAAATAAACAAAATAATAAAAGAAAAAAATACAAGAACACAAGAACAACCAAGCAAAAAACTATAATATAATTAATATAAAAATAACTGAACAAACTTAAATAATAAATTTTGAACAGAGAAATTTAATAAGTACTATAATATAAAATTAAAATATAAAAAAAATATATAATAAATAGATACAAAATAAAGATTATAACAAAAAAAAGAAAACAATTTATATATGAAAAATAAAAAATTAATCTTAGATGAGTATAAATTGAAATAAAAAACACACACACACATAAGATTGCATATAATAAAAAAATTAATATAAACAATTATTTATAATAGATTGTAAATTTCGAATACTATTTAATAAAATAATAATAATAATAATAGAAATAACAAAAAATGAAGTAAAAGGCAACAAAACAAAAACAAGTAATTTAATAAATAATTAAAAAAAAATAAAAACAATTAAATTTAAATAAATATACAATAATAGAAAAATCACACAGAAAAAAAAAAACCACTAACTACACCAATATAAAAAATATTAATATTTATAAAAGTATATACATATATAAAAATAAATAATAAAAAAAATAAATAAGAAGAAAAAGAAAAATAATTAAAATAAAGCTATAGTCAGTTGTTTCGTATAAAAATTTGTTTATTATGTACAAAGAATATTTTACAAGATGATAAAATAAAAAATAATAAATATTTTATAAATTAATTAATTATATACGAAAAAAAAAACAAAAAAAAAATTTAATAATATTTATCAAATTATTATATTAATTATGAGATATATTTATATACTTATAATTTTATATCATATCAAAAAACAAAAATTTTTAATATACATATAAAATAAATAAATTATATGAATTGTATACAATATAAGTATTATATATGTATATTAAAATTAAATAAAACTTATAGATATGCAATTATTTTTTTTTTTAAGTTAACAATATTTTCAATTTAATATTTTTATATTTCTCATTATATATACATTTTATATACTTGTGTATATATACTAATTTTCATTTATATTATTAAATTGATTAATTTTTAATATTATAAAGTGCCGCCTCATATAAATACATATGTTTATCTATTCGGAATTTATATTATCCAATTTAATTAATCTTAATTTAATTAATTAAAATTCTTAAATAATTTTATATTTTTTTGTATTCCTACTTTGCTCCCGGGGGCATAGGGCTGGTACATAATATTGTAGATAACAATATGAACCAGTTTCTTACGTCATTGAGTTTACTAGATAGGTGACGAGCCTATTGTAGTTTTCAAAAAATTTTATATTAGTATTATATTTATTTTTTGAAAAATATTATTTGAACAAGGATCTTATTAAGGAGGAAATTCTATTATTTAAATTACTTTTATATATTCTTCTGAATTTTTTTTTGAAAATTCTTTATTAAGAGAACTTTTTTTCATTTTTTATAACTAGAAAATTTCAAATATTTGAAAAATTACAATCGGTTTTAGTCTTGGTCTAAAAAAAATGCAGCATTTCAATTTGCATATTACATATTATAACAATTAAGATACCTTAATAAATAAAAATTTTTGATTCGAAATTCCTCTGATCCGGATGCAATTCTGTATACTACTCATAAAAACCTATAAATAAATAATATTTACACAAAAAATATTCTTTTCGAGCAATATTGTATAGTTTTAAAATTTTCAAATAATAATTTTCATAATATCAAAATAATCTCAATTGTAAAAATTATATTATTTAAAATAATTCTTGAATTTGCAATTTTTTTATTTAATTTTTGTTTTGAATTCAATTTTTTTTCTTTTTGTAAAAAAATGTGATTTTACAACCTATAATATTTATTTTTCTATATAAAAAAAAAATCAATTAATTTTAATAAAAACAAAAAAAAATCTATAAATTACTTATATAAAGAATATGTGTATATTCCATATATAATATTGTATTAAATGTTAATTACCTAAATATGTACCTTCGAAACCTTAAACGCTTAGTTTATTTAATGATTTTTATATCTAATTTTCCAATTACATAAGTGAATTGTGTTGAATAATTTTCTATAATTCTTAATGAATTTGAATTTTTCATTTTTAATTATTTAACAATTTATTACACGCGTTTATGTATATGTAAATATAATTATTATATGTACGCATATACTTACAGAAATGTAATTTTCCTTCTAAAACACAATATTTTTAAATACCTTGTTTTACTTTCAATATTTCCCGCGTTCTTTTTTCCATTTTCAATTATTTTAATTCAAAATTTTTGTTTTTTTTTTTTTTTTATTTTTATAATATCTAATTGCAAGCAATACCCGAATTTTTAAAAGAAAAAATGAAAATTATTAAAAAAAAACAAAAAAAACAAAAAAAGAAAAATAATCTAATGAAGTAGCGAAAATTTCTCTTGTAAAATACTGCTTTGTTTGAAATTCATGAATGTTTATACTTCAGTGGAATTTAATTAAATTTTGAAAATTTAAAATAAATTAATTAAATTTAATAAAAAATATATGAATCGAAATCAATAACAACAAACAAAAATAAGGCAAAACAAAAACACATACATAAATAAAGAAACAAAGAAAATTAAAAAACAAAAAACATAATATGCAAATTACACAAAACAAAAATAATATTCAAAAATAAAACAAACAAACAGAACAATATATATACAGACAAAAATATAAGAAAAAGTCAATGGCTATGGTTACAAACAAAAAAAAAAATAATAATAAATAAAATAAAATAATATTTATAGAAAAAAAATTAAAAATTAAAAAAAAAATACAATGAACACCCGTAATTTTAAGAGTTATTAAAAAA